GTTTGTAGACAGTACCTGTTTATAATTTTGCAGAAATTAGTTGGTCTAGTTCGTTAGTGACTTTTGTTGACAACTTGTTACTTTTAAAATGCCTGGATATGGGATGTTCGATTGTTGATAGTCATCACAACAGATTATATGTCACTCTACAAAAAATGCAAGTGGTCATATTTTCTACTCGCAATTTCGGAAATCCACTGTTGTTAATTTTTTGCAAGTGTGCGATAGCTGGAAAATTATAAGGTGTGGGAGTTTTATTGTGTGGCTACACATTGACATATGGTACTGTGCAATGGTAATTTGGTACTACTACTATCGTAACTTCTATATAAAACCACACAATCTAACTATATCATAGTGAAATTTGTCAACAGACATGTAGTTTTTTGGCGGTGTGCATTGGAGATACTAAAGTATAACATATATATATATATATCTTTTACTCAGGACCTTCCGGAGTGCCCTATTGAATCTACTGGGAAGTATCGTCATCCTTATCATGCAGTTCATGGCATGCCTCGTTGTGACTGTAGGGTACAACCGATGGTGTAACGGATTGTTGGCAAGACCCAACGGCTATGACTCGTAAGTAGATATTTTCAGCAGGAGTCATTGTTAATGGTAGGTGATGTCATAGCATTAAATTGGCATCTACGTGAATACGCGGTAAAGTGTAACTTTCTGAGTACAATTTATTTTATTTTAGTAATATTAAAATAATGGTATAGGAATTGGTCATGTAGCATGTTAAACCAAATGGAGTTTAGCTGGAGAAAGGTAATCGTGTATACTGCATGCGTGTAATTTTTTTTTCTCTATTATTGATATACTGTTAGTAGTTAGTTATATAGGTGAGCTATAGCAGAAAGAAGACATATAAGTCATATATTGTAGTTGTAATTTTTTCAATGGTTTGTAAATGAAATCCTATATATGATGTATTAAATACATGAACATTGAACTAACTGAAAATTCTAGGTGCAGCCTTGCAGCTCTTGGCTTCAGTGACTATGCTGAAGTTGGATTTAAAGTCGACAGTACCCCTTTCCCGATTCAAATGGGAATGGCAAAGGTAAGCAGTAATATCATTATCATGTTTGATTAGTTAATTTTGAGTTTTCATACAGAATTGTTGTCTTCAAGTCTTGGTCAAGAATCTAGGTCTTATAAAGTCTTTGGTAATGTTGGTGAATATAAGAATGTAAGCAGTGTATTCTCATGACACTTACAGACGTAGCAGAAGCAGTAGAAAACAGTAGCAGTACCCACTGCAGCAGTAGTAGAATCCGTAGCAGCAGTAGTAGAGATAGTAGTAGTGGTAGTGGCAGTAGAGGTAGCACCAGCAGCAGTGGCAACAGTAGTAGCAGCAGTGGCAGCGGCAGCAGCAGCAGAAATGGCAATACCATTATTATTAGTAGCATTAAGAGTAACAAAAACTGCAATACCAATAGCAATATCAATATTAATAGCAATAGTAATTCAGCAGCAGTAGCAGTAGAGGTAAGAGGTAACTGTAAGAGCTACAATGTTACTCTGCAGCATTTCTTTGTACAAGCGCTCTTCCACTTATCTAATGTGATTTGAAAAATACTGTTTTCAGTAGATGTACTTGTATTTGAATCATTTGCAATAAAGATTTAATTAATGAAAATAAATAAAAAATGTTTAGCTCTACTAGCGATGATGCTCGGAATCCTCCTGGATTGGTTATCATTAACAATTTATGTTCTTCTTTTATCCTCCTAGTTCGGTGCCTGGTTGCTGCTAATAGTGTGGGCATGGATTGTGGCACTAGCTAGTGTGAAGCTGTATCGATTCCATCAGGAGGAATCTTTCCTCACCAGCATAGCACGTGAGCACGAACGTCTGATACAGTCCAGAGGAGGAACCAATGCTTCGATCTAAGAACACCCATCTACTGTTACTAATTCAGCACGTGTCGGTGAAGCGAAAAACAACTGGCATGGGTATAATGAGGTATATGGACAAAAGATTCTCAGCACGGTTTATTTGAACTGCTATTTAGGTTTATGTCTTGCACAGAAAAGCGTTGATTGTGCTTTGCTTACTGTGTGCTTTTTGAATGTCAAGCATGATGAACTGGAGTTTACTTTTTGCATCTTTATCACTTAATTTAGGTGCTTTACTTGACATGCCTCTGTTTTTCTTTGTCGTCTCCCCCAATCCACATCACTACTTATCATCTGGCAAAGTTGACGTTTTGATTATTTATTTGTATAGCTTAACTTCATGCAATAATCAGCAGTACTATAAATGGTCAGCATGCTAGTAGCTGGTAACTAGAGGCTCGTGGCTAAGAGCGAAGAGAGAACTGAGACATAATTTCCAGTTTTTAGGCTTGATGTCACCATCCGACATCTGTCATGTGATAGTGTTCTTCTAAACGACCTGATCTTTTTATAGACACGTGTTTTTCTTTTTAATCTGCCTCCTCCCCAAGGTTTAATTCAGTGTACAACAGCTCTAACGGCCTAACAACAATACGACTATTTCTATAGGAAATGTGTCAATGAGCATATTCAGTTTTTTGTTGCTGTAGCAGCGTTTACATTCATGTTTAAAAGAAACTGTTTGTAGCATATTTAAGAGGTTTTCTGAGAAATCATGCAATCCTCTGCATTCCTGGTGTTCTTATATGATGTGCTGTTGACCAGCATAAGCCCTGGTTTGGATACCAGAGCAAAGCAGTGCGAAAATGACTGAATCAATGTTGAATCTGAGTTGTAGCAAGCAGCAACAAGAGTACTAATTGTCCAAGCATTCCTGCTCTGTGTGTTGAGTCTAACAAGAAAATCTCCATATTAGTAAGGTGATCGAAGTGGTAGTGTAAGTGTTTATTTTTAGAGTTTGTGGAGAACATGTGCTATGCTACATTATAAACACATATATATGATTCTGTTAGTTGCTCCCCATATATAGTGTAACAGTACTGGCAGTTGAAGCAGTTGAACATCTCTGTTATGACAACAATGGGACCTGCATTCTGGCAGAATTGGGAAAGTTTTTTGTTGGGAGCTAATTCCTGTCAATGTTCGTTAAGCTCATTTAAGCACAGCCTATATGCATAGCATTTCAGTGTCTGCGTATTTTTAGGATTATGGCTGTTTTGCGCACGTGGGAAAAGAAACGAGTGTAGTAATATATGCAAATAACACAAATAATTCACTATACTCTGTACACCCCAAACGCGAACGCAACCTTATTTATTCTTACATTCTGGTGTATCTGGACTAAATCCTGACTGAAATTGTCTTGGGAGATGGGTGGTGTCTTAGGTTCATCGGTGTGATATCCAGGGATATGGTAGCCGAACAACCGGTGACCTGGTATCTGATCAGAATGTTGTAACTACAAAAAGAATGGAACCGGTCAGTGATGGATGTCGCGCTACATTGGAATGTCCGATAAATGAGTTTAAACTGAATTACGATATATTACAAAAAAATATATAGTTGCACTTTTTATTGCCGTACGACAAAATTATTTTCGAATGAACATTTGTAAATATATGTCAATATATTTCACAATATTTTGAACGTATTGAGATCAATATGCCATATTTTTAATAGTATTGGCACGTGTAAATGAAACTTTCTATGATTGTTAGCTTAAGAATGCGTAGGACGGTGCTACCTGCATACATTATATAAATTACATATTTTAGACTATCGTCGACCTAATTGCGCATAAGTGCGTAATTGCATCATGAAAATATGTATACTGAAGGACATTCGGGATACATATGATGTTTAAGGGCTGCTTGAATCAACGTGTTTATTTTTCATATCGTGTACGGTAGCTCAGTTGATGCATGCTTGTGCAAACGATTTTCTCCAGTGAAAGTTTCAGTAGCAATGCGTCGTGAATGCACCAAATATATGAAACTTGTAAGTCAAGGTGATTGATGTACATGATTATACTTTCGGTAAAAATACGAGTTGATTGTAGGCTACTATTTCATATTGTTTTCAATCTGACTGGTTCGAATTGCCTGTAATTTGATTTATATATTGTGCTTTATCTTTAGCCAGTTATGTTTGCAAATGATTCTAAATCGAATATTTGGAATAATCAGAACATTGTGTTTGTACATACAACTTGTATGTCCGGATGAAGCTTCGAGTCTATGAAAATACATGAATTTACCACCAAGACAACATAAACAATTAAAATGTGCATCCTGTATGTAGTAATCTCAGCTGTAGTTGACATTATTATTGCAGTTTATAAGGTGATGGAATATAGTAAAGGACAGAACGTAATCGATAAAACAGCACGTCTACATATATTAAAAATTGCGTGTATCTAGATACCTGCTCTTTTGCTTTTACCTCTAAACTCGCTGTGGGTATCCACACTTTCTATTCAAGTTTACCCGTTTTTAATTATCATGCAGGTCTCTCGAAAGTGCGGTGTATATAAAACGAATATTCCTTCGCTATTCCCAAAGTACTCGTCTGACAAAGTTGCCGTTGACTCAGCATGCGCGGCGGTTGAATGACACATTACGGTTTATATGATAGTATAATGGACACTACTTAGGCTAAAAAAAGTATATATATATATATATATATATATAAATATATATCAGGGCCGTGGCCCAAATTTTGCCCCCCCCCCTTAGGAATTTGATCAGTCTACGGCCCTGTATATATATATATATATATATATATACGTTATACGTTACAGCATGCAAATATGTATACACCCTATACCTATAGGGTATACGTGCGCATCGTTACATGCATGTAAATATTATTCTCAGCCGCTATGCAGCCAACTTCCTTGCGATCAGAGACATAGATAGAGAGAGACGCTTCTTACATGTAAGCCGTAAGCATACGGCTTCACACTCGCTGATAAAACTTTATTATAAAATTATAACGCGCCGCAGTAGAATTCATACTGTAACAGCCCGCGTCACGACAACCTAGGTTAAGTAAATTCGCATATAAGTAATTTGTAAATTATGACCAGTTTACTCGCTATACGGAACGAAAATCTTCTCCCACATCACTTTTTAAATTAATGAGTGGGTTTTCTACGCTGGCGTGCTCAAGCGCCGCGAATAAAATTTCTGTATATGTAATAAGTCTACAGCAATCTGACAACAAGTCGGGCGGGTCATATTTGATACGTGCAATGTACCGCTGTCACATTACATAATTTGACCACTTGTGCGTGTTTCCGCAATCAGCCCCTGCCTCCCTCGCGGTCCAGTATACTCTGGGGGCCGTAGTCAGAAACATCGTAAAGTTAATGCTAATGTTAATGCTAATGTTAATGCTGAGATAACACTTACGACTAATGTTAATGTTACGAGAGGAGCGTTGACAGAAATACATCGCAGCTATTAGAAAACTTACGTTAACAGGAACTTCATAATTTGATGTCTCAAGGCTGCTGATTGGATGAGAATCGATCACAAAATTCAAGTCAGGTATTTTCACATGTTAGCAGGAGTAAATAAAATATTTGGTTTTTCAAGAGCAGTTATTCCTAATAACGTCAGCTGCTATAGACAGATTACAAAGAGAAGATCCACCATAAACGACAACCACCTTTAGAATATTTTTTGTTTCCAAATCAGAGCATGAAATACCCAGAATTGACAATGGCACACCCACGCTTGCGCGCGCACGCGCACACACACACGCGCGTACTCCAACACACGCACGCCCGCTCTTAGGCACGCACGCACACACACACACACACCAAGACACAAACACAAATACACACGCACGCGCACTGCACCCCCCTTCCCCCCATAGAGAGAGAGAGCGAGCGAGAGAGAGAAAGCGAGCGAGAGAGAGAAAGAGAGAGAGAGAGAGAGAGAGAGAGAGAGAGCGTGAGAGAGAGAGAGAGAGAGAGAGAGAGACGCAGGCACGCGCATAC